ATGTGGATATTAAGTCCCTGTTTGACAACCATTTTTTTGTGGAAAATGGAGTTTTGAATATTGATTTTCATGAGAATGTGTGGTTAACAAGTGGGGAAAAATTTTGAGTTTATGTGTAAAATATTTTATTGTGTGAATGTGTGATTAAAAATGAGTACGTAGAAAAAAAAGTTTCAAAAAATGATTGTCAAATATGGGCTAAATGTCAACCAGTGCAAGTAGGCCAATGCACACATTTTGTAACATTACTTAGTAACAGACAAGGCAAATAACTTGAATGCAAAAGTGGAAACTCTATGTAAACATAATTTAAGATCCCAACAAGGCTATGTAAACATAAGTATTTCTTGTGTGCTGGAACTTAAAAAGAGTGAAACAGTTTTTCGGTTCTATTTTAGTGCATTTTACATATATATTGAATAATTTTTAATATTACGTAATTAAATATTAATAAACGACTTTGCTCTTACGATCGCTGATTGTCGATGTTGACAGGTCGGCGTTGACCGGTCAACGTCCGCCCGGGCTGGGTCCGTCCCTGGTACTCATTGACGCTTGAGAATTGACGTATGTATTCATTATTTATTCATGTATGAGTCTCAATTAAAAAAAGTGGGTCCTACCTACTTAATGTTAGTGCCAATGGCTTGTGTTTTTATAAAGAGTTTATACAATATCTAGAGATTTAGACTAACCAACCTTTCATCACACGAATCTTACCTAACCTAATACTGTCATATGTAACCTAAAATAAAAAAATAAAATAAAATTATGTCTAAATAGAATTTGAATTATTATCCTTATATAAACACAAGCAGTCTCTTATGGTCAAATCATGTTATGGACACTTTAAATTTATTCCATGTCATGCCGTTATCCTCAATAATTAAGGACTTCCCTCCATTTTTTCTTGATTTTCAACAGCAATTTTACATCAAATCAATGCTGAAAATGAAGAAGATTGCAGAGATCACCCCTATGAATGGTAGTTAAATAGAGTTGGAAATTGCCAATGAATGGTAGTCAAATAAAAGGGTTTTAGCATCGAAATTCAACTTCATATTCCTGCTCAAAGAGAATCATGAACAACAAATGAAAGGAACATTCAATACTTAAGGCTTCTATTTTTGAAATTCATGGCAAGTTACAGAACAATTTGTAGCACATAGGCTTTACAAACAAATGTAATTTTGCTGACAGTGATCACACTATGTAGCAAAAAATGACTAGGGGCAGAGCCAGTAATTCACGTTGTGGGAGGCAAAAAGATTTCTCTCCCTAATTCTTTCTTTTACAATGTAGAAACCAAAAAAAAATTCAAAAAGTTAATTCAAAAAATGCTATAACGCACATTCTCTATATGCATTCAACAACATAAAATTGATGTAGGAAATGTCAAATCAAATACTGTAAGGTACTCAAAGATAAGGGAAAAATACGTAATTTTAGACTCTATATATTGTACGAGCATTAAAAATTTACTCCACAATTCACATCACATAAAAGGCGTCAAAGGACAAACATCAAATGTAAAAAACAATTAGCAAAAACAAGTTAACAACCTTTATTTACCCTAATAACAAGAATGACAAGAATTGAATAAACAATTTCCCTACAGTTTCTTTCCTTTATATGCATGTATTAAATACTTCTACTCTATAACTGTTCAAACAAATGAAAAATCTTAACAATATTTCATATTTTCACTTCCTATGCAACCATCCCAAGTCCAACCACATTATTCACACACAAATACTAATGCGGCTTTCGTTATACTCTTCTCACTGAAAAGCGCAATGTGACAAACACATTACATTGTATAAATATTATTAGTGAAAATTCTTGTGGCGGTCTTTGACAACCATTGAAATGTCAATGTCCCAGAGGAAATAAGGAGCAACAGTAACATCGAATCAACATGGAAATTTTTAAATCCCTCGAGAATTCTAGGGTAAGATTGTAAGGTTATAGAGCAATTTCTCTACAAATACAGTTTTAATAGAATTTTGGCTTTGGCTTAAAACTAAAACTAAAACATTTGCTTGAGAGATTGGAGGGATGGCTAAGTTTTCTTGGACTGATGGTGAGCCATTGCTGGTTGATGGGCTGAATTTTCATTTTTCTTTTTGGGCAATTATTTTTGGGTATGGGCTTGGGCAGCCCTGGACTATAGCCTAGTGCTGCCACCCCTAATATCCGCCCTAGAAAACGACAATACAAACCAATATAACAAAAGGATAGTATCATCAATAAAACACTAGATCATCGCATAAAGTAGAAGAAATGGATAGTTTTTCTAGAGGGCATCAAGGTTACACTCCTCATAAACAATTTGCCGTTGCACAAAAATACCAGTGCTACTTCATAACTCGAAAAAAAAATGTAGACAGAGGGCCTAATTTTCACAAGAGGAAATTGGAGGAAACCATGCTTTTAAATTTCCCTCATAAAAAATTAGGCAATACCTTTTCTTATTCACAATTATGTATTAAAAATAAATAAGTAATTTAAATATATTTTTAGCATTTGATTTTTCATTTCAAAGAATCACTATAATACAGATATTGTTATCTTAAGTTTATTGTTCATAATTCGAATTTCACTAATTTCATATGCTTTTCCCACCGTCTTCTAATTAGTCAAACGTGTCCAAAAGTAGCTTTTATGTTTCAAAGACTCTTTTTACTTCTCAAAAATCATGTCATACAGAGCCTTAAAATGTTAACCTTGTGAAGAGATTTCTCAAATATCAATTTGTAAGTTCATACTAAGCAACAAGTAATGTTTCTTTTAGTTAGAAGAACTTTTAAAGTCGTGTTTGCCATGTATTTGAGAAGCTAAAAGGAGATTTTCAAATCTAAAGTTACTTTTGCACTCGTTTGACTAATTTTATAAAAGTTTTCTATTTTTGCACATGTTTAACTAAATTTATAAAAGTTTTCAATGTGATTTCATCTCAACACTCTTTTAAAAATTAGCTTCTAAACACTAATTAATGTAGTTTTTTTAAAGAAGCACTCCTATAAAAAGGAAAAGTCATATCAAATGGACTCTAAGACAAATTCAAACCTTAGCCCCTGTTTGCCCCCCATT